GCTCACAGGCTCCCAGCACCATGYTCAGTTCCTCCTACTTGCTCTGGTAACTCAAAACTTCAGTTGTTGCTGTATATTTCCATATTGCTCCCATGCCACTTTCTSTTCTCAGGCACATGAATAATATTTWAAATGAGTAAGATCTACACAAATGAACAGAAAGGATATTGGCTAGTGCTCCTCTCTCAGAATTTCTTAATTCCAAGATTTCTTTGGCATATAGGCAAAGCAGGTTCAGTTATGCCTCATCATGACAAATGCAGGAATACACAGGAAAGCTCTGTGAGTTGGATGCTCACATGAAGAGCAAGCCCTGTTCAAGTCAGTGGGTACAAAGCACTATGAGGTTACAGCACTGGGCTAGCACTTCCTTTAGGCAAACCCAGCATTCACATTTTCCTACAATGATTCAATGTTTGTAGCTCCCTTTGTGTTCAAAGCACTGTATAAACATTAAGGCAATATCCTGTTAAGATAGTCAGCCAGCAAGGTAATTTAAGTCAAGGTGACACTGCAGTAAAGTGGCAGTAGGAGAGCACCTGTCCCTGCTCCCAAACCCCAACAGAGACCACGGCCAGCAGTGTCACTTCTCACACTGCATGAACATCTCCTGCAGGAGGAGCTCCCAAAGCATGGAGGTGCTCATACAACAGCACTCTGGGAAAGGCAGGAGAGAAAGAAAATAAGGGAGTGATGGCTAGGAGAGGATGTRAGGGACTGCACAATTGAGAAGTTGCTCCAAATATCATCAATTAAGACTTTATGAGTAGCTCATTTTCTATATGAAAATCAATTATTAAAATATCCAACAGCAACTCAGGATGACAGAGAAGTGGCACCTAGATACCAATGATAATTGTGTTCATCTCTTTTGGGTATAAATTAGATATAGTACCACATTAGGAGAACTAATTAAAAGGTCAAGGATTTTTTTAAAATTTAAAAATCGAAGCTCATTAAAAATATTTAAAATTTAAAAGCAAAGAGAGATTAATATGAAGTATAAATCCTTCTCAAGACCTATCCATGTAATTGCTCAGTACAAGTAAGGAGTACCAAGGAAATAATGGTTCATAACTTGACCTTATGCCTTGCCTTACCCAGCAGAATAGGATTCAGCTTCGGCTCACACAGTTCTACTTAATATAATCTTTTCAGGCTCCTAAATATTTACTGATGTTTATCRTCACAGAACTTCACATGTTTATTCACAYRAAATAGTTTGAAATAGTTATGTTCATTAACTGTGGAAACCTAAGACATAAATCTCCCTTGAATGTGAATTTTTTTTATGTATTAATCATATGAGGGAAAAGGCAGGAAAAGAAAAGGTATTACAARAATGATCTGGGTAGAAATAAAACTATATCTCAAAGAAAAGATCTTTTGCAAGGAAAAGCAACACTCCATTTGTGAGGTATTATTATAATTATTATGATCATTGTTTACACATCAGGCTGCTAATGGGAAGCAAGTCAGAGTATCTGAAACAATRTAAGTGCCTTCCAACCACATCAGTAAACCAATCTAAAAGGGAAGTTGCCCAAACTTACACACAAATACAACAAATATGACAGCACTCTTACAAGCTAATTTTGGYAAGGAAAGATGGCAAACACTGCCTRTGAATGTTGGTACCAGCTCAGCCCTGATRAGTTTAACAACCAAATTCTTTTTGAGCAATCTTGGCATGGACATTAATACTTGAAATTATAATGTTTGGCAGGCTCACTGTTCCATTCCCAGCATCCCACATTAGGACAGGCTCAGGCTGTACTGAGCAAATGACCATGGTAACACTGTCTTTTGGAAGGCAGTGTAGCAATGAGCCACTTCTTTTCAAGCAAAAGGAATCAGTGATGGCTATCTATGTAAAAGTCTGCTCTGAYTTAATTGATATAACTACTAAAAGAATAATAAATCTACAGCATCTGTAGATTTATATTTTGATTTCTATTCTGCGTCCTCAGCTCCTCCGTTTTGCAATGCCTTCAATTTATCAAACACTCCCAGTGAAATATTTCCTGGAACCTCCCAAGTGCTGCATCCCATTGTCCCATACACTTCAGTATCCTCTTGTATAGCTCCAGTCTGTCTTTGCTCAGTCTGCCAATGGTAAAAGAGGCAGCTTCCCACTGTCAAATTAATTAGTTAATTAATACCAATCAATGGATTCCAAAAGTATTGAGGAAGAAGGGCCAATGGATGTGCATAGATCTGACTTGTTTTCCCTGTTGCTTTAGGCAAACAGGCTAAGAAATTGCCCTTCTCTCTGACTGCTGCTTTTTTCCACCCCCAAAAAAACCACCGTTTTACTACTCGACTGCATTAGGAAGAGTCTCCAGAAACATGGGAGTACTACAGAGCTGTTGCATAACACTGAATTGTAACTCGTGAATGGAACAATCCATAGATATCAAATCACATCACTCAAGAGGAAACAAGCACTGAGAACAAGTATTGAAGAGACAGCAAAATAACCTTGAAAAATCAGAAGAATTAATGTTAACAACATAACATTTAAAAGCCRTTTCAAGAAATTCCACTGCAGACATTAATTAATACAGGTCTCATACAATAACTGCTGTTGTACAATCTCTTTGGGTGATATAATTGTCACACATTCTTCTTTCCAGGCATGTAGTGCTTTGGAGACTACTAAAGGACCCAGGGAATTTGTCTGAAAGATTGCAGCAACACACAGGCTCAAAGGCACAGGACTGCTTCYACATTTTATTTGCACATAAAATAACTTGAAGTTTAATCAGGACACATAACCCCTATAATACCAAATTTCATGCAAAATTTTCACTTTTATAAACTCGAAAATGAAAACCTGTGTTCCTTGAAGGTGTTGACAGCAGAATAAATACAGAAAAGCCAAAAAGAAGGCAGCAAGCTAGCTGACACAAAACCAAGGACTTACTTTGCCTCGGGAAATATTATGTTTCCTGGGCTTCCCTGAACCTGCTAACCTTGTCAGTCATAATTAAAKAACAACGTAAATATTCTGGGAATTCTGCAGAGGCATTCTCAAAAAAGTAATCTTACCCATTTCTGAACATTTTAAAATGTAATTTKTCTTCCAACTTAGATTTCACAAATTTAAAACAACTCAGAAAAGCCAAATGTAACATGTCTCATTATTAATACAACTCCGAACTGGCCATTTATCATTCTGGCTGGCCACTCTGGTAACTTTGAAAGGAATTCCAACTATCCACTCAACCAAGACGAATGCTCCTTTTCCATAAACATTTCAGAAAAATCAAAACAATGCAGGGATTCCAGCTAATGCCAGACACAGTATAGACAGAGATAGACAAAGAGACAAGAACTTATCGAGACTCACACATGAGGAGCAAGAGGCTTTTAGATAAGCAGGGATTTTTAAGACTGGAGTGTCCCACACCAAGGAAGAGCTTGTCRACTCTAGTCAGTTGAGCCCTGAAAGTTTCACTTCCACTTTTCCTGAACTGAAACTAAATATAACAATTGCAATTTCAGTTAAAAAAACCCCACCGAAACAAATGTTGTTTGCTTAATAACAAACTCAACTAAAGAGTTTCTGAAAGTGCACCTGAACTGAGCTTTTGGTGTTTTTTTCTCCTTTAAGATATGAGGAAACATCGCTGCAAAAGTCAATCCCTTGACAACAAGAAATGTTTCACTTTAGTGGGAATATTACTTGTGATGAACAAAAAGCAAAATAACCCTCAGTAACAAAGAAAAAAGGGGTAAAAATCTTCGTATTTACAAATCCTTAACTGGAATGACAGAAATTTCCAACCCTTTACATACCATAATGGTATTTCATACTTGCATGACTGGTATTCCAAGCTTACATTTGCTACAGTAGCATCAAAAATTACAGTGCTACCCTAGCCCTCCTTCCATATGGAAGCAAGCAGTACAACCCRTCATTAAAACAAGACCACAGAAAATGTCCGTAAAAGTCCAAAAGTTCAGACGTGAATTCAATGGAGAACAACGATGGTTTGGGAACACGGCAGGGGAGACACRGAGACAGGTGAAAAACACGGACGGCGCGGCGAGCAGCGCACGGACCGAGCGCAMCCAACATCTCCCGGCACCCACCGAGCTCGGGAACAGCTGTTCCTAAACATGGGCAACGAGGAGCTCCGAATTTTCTCCACAAATCACTAAACGCCAACATTAACCTTTACACTGGCGGCGATGCACAAGGCGAGCCGCATCCCGCGGGACGCGCCCCCAGCCCGCGGCTCTTTGGCGCCCGAGTCCCAGGGGACGCGGCGGAGCCCAGGGGACGCGCAGAGGAGGCGACCCCGCCGCCACCGCCGCCCTGACGCCGTGACAGCGGCGGGGCCGCGACCCCGATCCTCGCCGAGCCGTGACAACCCCTGCCGCCCGTTGTCCCGGCCCCGCCGGGGGCCCGCGGCTCCGCTCGCCGACCTACCGTGCTCGGCGCTGGCGGCTGCTGCCATCCCGGTGCCGGTGCTGCCGCTGCCKCCGCCTGCCCTCGCTCCCGAGCTGATGCAACAGCGCGTCCGGAAGCCTCGCCCCGCCCGCCCTACGCTACTTCCGACGGGCCGCGTCACCCGGGCAACGGGGCAGCGCCGCCCGGCTCAACCTGGCACGGCACGGCACGGCACCGCCCGGCAGGGCACGGCCCCACACAGCCCCGCCCGGCACGGCACCGCCCGGCCCCTCACGGCACAGCCCAGCCAAACCCCGCCCGGCACGGCACCGCCCGGCCCCACACAGCACAGCCCGGCACGGTCCGGCCCCACACGGAAAGGCACGGCCCAGCCCCACACGGCCCGGCCCCACACAGCACAGCCCGGCCCGGTCACACACCGCCCGGCCCCACACAGCACAGCCCGGAGCAGCGCGGCCAGCCCAGGCCCCAGCAGCACCGTGCCGACCAGGCCCCAGTGCCGCCGCTCGCCTTTCCTTAAATAGCTCCAAGGACGCTGTCGCCGCCAGAACAAAGTCCCAGAATCGGCCCTTGCTTCCGTCTCCACCAGGTTTTTATTGCTGTGCTTCAAACATAATGATGCTGAGCAGTCAGATACAAAGCAAAATCATCTCAGAATCCAAAGTATCACAATACTCTTCTCAAAAACAGCAGTGCTCTCTCGGTCCCCACCACCCCAGTTGGGCAGCACAGCACTGCCACTTACAAAGGGAAGCATGAGYTCCTGGCTCCCAAGTGGGTATCCAGCATCTGAGTTTAATACCTAATAACTCAAAAGCCCTTGGAGTAGGTCACAGCTGGAATATCCATGTAAACGAGCAAAGGCATTAAGTCCCTTCCAGCTCTCTGCATGAGGTGAGGAGTATCAACTCCATGCCCTCATTTCTATGAGCAGTTCCTGACATTCATATTTAAAGGAAGTTAACACATGTTTGTGCTTACAAACACAGGAGCATTTTTGCAGTTCATCATAAACATTAATCTGCAACTTCTACTTCACTTATTAAGTTTCTACTTTTTAAAGTGTTTGATATATTGTCACAAGCCTTGGAATCTATACGCCTCAGCTCATTCAGTAAATTAATAATACATTGTTTCTCTCCCAATGTGTTTCTCCACATGAGAAGCATCTGATAGGATTGTTCTTCTCTATTATCAGGAAATCTAGAAATAGTTTTTTCAATATCATTTTCCTGCAGATGAGTTCTCATAAGCCGCTTCCACTGTTTTGGTGGTACTCCCGTTATAAAGGCCTCAAAGGTATCCATCAGTTCTGAAAGGAGAAACACACATCAGCTTGCGTTTTAAAACACAGGGAAGATTTTTTTTCCATAGCTCCCATAGATGCTTTCCCCTTAATTTTCAGCCAATACCTGCAGAGACCAAAGAGCAGCAGCAMGGCAGGGTTTGGCACCTAAGAAGCCACCGGACAAAGTAGGTTTTCTATTAAACGGTCTTGAAAGCAGCTAAAGGTATTGTGCATGTGTTTCAGAAGTGGTCTCCTAAGACAAGACACCATCCAGTAAAGGTGGTTTTGAGAAAGGCTTCATTGGCTGGCACATTCCCTTGACAGGGCTACTTAGCACAAGGTTTGAACCATTTCACTAATCTGCTGGCAGAGGTTTGCCACATCAAGACCACCACAAGCAAAACCCATGGCTTGGACATCCAGCGCAACGATTTGCTGGCTACAGGCAGATGTGTGGAGGTTTGGCATGGTCTTCAACAGAAATATCTCCTGTTCTGGCCTACACCTCACTCAGTAAAGCAGAGTACACTGCTGCAATGCAGACCTGCTTTGAAATATTTTTTTAAAAAAATTGTACCCTTCTTATTCTTAAAATCATGATTCGTCTATACTCCCAGGCAGAAAAATTATGCTCTAAAGTAGAGGAGGGATTACAGCTTTTCTGTAAYGCAGCAATAATCCTGTTTCAGTATAATTTACATTAAACTGGGATTCTTATAGCTGTAAGGAGTATTCATTAGCCTCTTTATACCATTCCTTAAGTAAAGTCAACAGGAAAAAAAACCCTAAATTCCAAGTACTGCCAACTTATGGGATACTTACCCCTTGGAGAGAGATCTTTAACAATTATCTGACACTTTGCTTTTCGCACCTGTAATACAAAGTTGGACCATTACTCCAGTAAATCAGAGTGCTTCTACAGCACACACACCAATAAGAGGAGTGGGACAGATTTCAGAGCAGACCTGTAAGTACTTTAGTAAGAAAAATTGCATGGTAAAAACAAATACGCTACTGGCTCTGAAGTGAAGCAGCAGGCAACATATTTGCTGCTATTGTAAAACAGTAGCTTCTGCCAGTAGCTATTGACAGGGAGATGAAAGAGGCAGAGTAAATGAAATGAGGGATTAAAGGGKTTTTTTTTCCAAGCTTTTACTTCCCATACTTCCTACTACATATTTAAGGCCAAGTCTCCTCTACTGCTTTGCCTGAAAGCTCAAGGAATAGTTAAGAACTCAACTAAAATGATAGTTGCATTAGAGCAAATACAGGGATAATTTCCCATACATACCCTTACCTTACAATTTGCTGGAGTCCCATGGGGTACTTTAGATGAGCTGTTCCACTGAAAAATAGATTTCTGGACACATTTTGCTGGCAATGAAGACTCGGGAGCCCTCTTGGACCCCACCATCATGGGGCACTCACAGCCCCTGTGTGAGACAGTGCCCTGCTGAGGAATCACACCATTTTCCTCTGGTGAGCTGTTTTCTACTTCCAGGCTAACACTGGTTAGTGCTTGGCTCTCTGGGCTCACAGCAGAGTTCTCATCCTCCGGGCTCCTTTCTGATAAAATGAGGTTTTCAGTACAGCCCTCAGACTTCTGTAAAGAATAAGAACATGTTTTGAGAGGTATTTCACAGTTAGAGCTTCAAAGACAGTCTGGGGAGGGGTAAAGAGAATACATGAAGTCCCCACTTGTCAGAGAAATAATAGGAGAGCTGCTAATTTGGCAGAGTTACAGGCTTTACAGAATTATACTTCAAGTGGTTTTAGAGCCTGACTCTGCCTTATTGGCAGAGTTCTTATCCAGTTCTACTCCCACTGGACACTGCCAGGTCAGGCTCACAAGCTACCTCCACAACAACTACAGCAAACTTTTCCTATTAGTCTCACTGATGTGATTGGTACTTGCTCTTCCCTAGGTACAGAAGGCTTCTAAGACAGGAGGGGACTAAATTGCCTTACTGCACCTGAGCTGAATTAACAGCACCAGGGGCTTCAAGCCTATCACTGTGTCAAGGGTGATGCTCTCAGAACTGTTGCCAAGCTGATTGTAGCCCATCAGTTCCACATAAGTGCACTACCCCGGGCTTTCTTTGGCCGGATTAGCTTTCCTGGCAGATTCACAAACTATAATCAGCTGGAAGAAGGCAATGAACACCCATGTATGTTGCATAGCTTTTGTGASGGGACAAAGAGGGAAGCCACAGAGGAAGGCTGCCTTCATTTTTAGCATTTTCAATTCATTTAACAAGTACAGGCCAGRGAGTACAGCACCAGTTCATCATGAACAGTACAAACACAAGGCAGAGTAGCAGCTAATGCCTCAGGCAGGCAAACTTTAGGAATAGTTTTTTAGATGTGGAAAATTATGATGAAGAGTAACTGTTCTTCCCCTGTGACTTGTGTTTATTGTGGTACAGTCCCTTTGTAAGCATAAGCCAGCATGATTTCTGCTTGCACAGGGTCAGTGACACACAGGTGACACCACCATGTGACCACCCCCAAGCAGGGATGGGAGGCAGAATCATCCCACAGATCACATATGTATTTTGCTCATCATTCTCATTGAAAACACTTTGTACTTCAGGGCATAAACACATTAAAGAAGTTGATCTTATTTATACAAGATAATTTTTAAACAGGAAACCAAATGCCTGAAAGAGCACAGCATGGCTGGCAATTTTGTTTCAAAATCCAACATTAGCTATTAAAGTCTCAGCAGTCGTTGGGTTTTTTTTTTTTTTTTTTTTTT